ATGATTTATTTTTTATTATTAATGTAACAAATAATTACTTTAATTCATGTTTATATTTAATTCATATAAAATTTTATATAAACTGAGAATATTATGCAAAAATAAATTACATTTGAATTTATTTACAGAAAAATTGTTATTATAAAGTATATGTAGTGTTGAATATATGGATCGGTGGGTAAATCTGTACTTATAAGTCCTGTTTTTGGTTTATATTTCATATTAAATTAATGCATATTTTTGTAGCACTCAATTTTTAATAGTCTACTTCACTATTCAATAGATTACTATGTTTATTTAAAAGTATAAACAGGTATAACTTATAGGAATTACTATAAATTATATCATATGAATCGTAACTAATGCCCACTACTGTAAAAACAACATATAAAAATGTAATAAAATTGTAAGAAATGTCTAGAGCAGAGATTATTCGGGAATAAAAACATCCAAAATCGGGAACCAGGAGTAAAAGAGTCAAATTCTAGTCAAAAATCGGGAATTAATGCTAATTCAATGGGTGACACAATAATTATACATTTTAATCATTTAGAAATTATTATATTTGATTGTGATATGAAATTGTGTACAGATATTATCTAATTTTGTAAGACATCTGAACTAATTACATAAACAAGTTTTTATTAAACTGATTCATGAACATTAACTATAAATTCTTACTTCTCAAGCTCACTTTTAAGTTACAAGTTAGTGTTATCTAGATTGCTATAATTGAATTATTAAATTTAGCGTGCTACAACTAAATTCTGTTATTGCTATTATAAATGCATAATTATTTGCACATTTATTTGATTGCATCAAATGTTAACTCAAATCATAACAATTTGCAAACTTATGATAGAATTAACTTAAATGATAGAAAATATGGTAAAAAGACTACATTTGTATTGCAAGACATCATTTGTGAACANATTTATTTGATTGCATCAAATGTTAACTCAAATCATAACAATTTGCAAACTTATGATAGAATTAACTTAAATGATAGAAAATATGGTAAAAAGACTACATTTGTATTGCAAGACATCATTTGTGAACACAAGTCGTGTTTTAAACCTCAACTCACGTGTGGACTCAACTCAATGTAAACACGAGTTTGTGTTTCATTTGATTTGTTAATACATTTGATTCAAACATGAGTTCAGAGTTAGACCACAAGAAGAAGAGGAAGCGCTTCAAGAGATCCAAATCAGGGGTAAGTCATTGAAACCATTAGAGGTTTGCACTTATTTTATGACATTTTCTGTGTTATCGCTGAAGAGATCCAATGAAGAGCCGCAACAACGACGCGATGACCACAAATCGTACGCCGATATTGTCAAAGAAAACAAAGATTATGAGATCTACTACAAGACCCAAGACATTGTCGATGCGGGCGATTGGGACACGTTTATGGCGTGTCTTCGGGAACCGCTTCCTTCTGCCTTTCGACTCACCTCTTACTGCAAGAGTCAGACGATTGCGTTGAGAGATATCATCGAAAGCGACGAATTTAACGGTTCCGTCGGTGACGGGGAGAGTGTCAGCGAATGTCTGAAGTGTATTGAGTGGTATCCAAACCGATTCGCTTTTAATATCAATAAATCTCGCGTTGAGATCAGAAAATCGGAATCGTTTCGCATTCTTCAGAATTTCCTCATTTCTGAAACCGATTCGGTATTCAATTGAATGACTTCTTCTTTTTCTATTTAAACTGTGGTTCAAATGATTGTTTGTTTTTAGGGTTATATCAGTAGACAAGAGGCGGTGTCAATGATACCGGCGCTGCTCATGGATATAAAGCCGGGCCATCGAGTGCTGGACATGTGCGCCGCTCCGGGATCTAAAACGGCGCAAATCATTGAAATGCTTCACACGGAAGACGGCAAGTCTGATGGCGTGGTTGTGGCCAACGATGTGGACAACAAGCGGTGCTATATGTTAGTCCATCAGTCGAAACGTTTGCACAGCTGTTCCACACTCATCACCAATCATGACGCCGGAGGAATGCCTAACTTCTACGACAATGTGGTAAATAAGTGGTGATATCTAACGGCTCTTCTAACTTGATTTCTAACACGTGTTTTGTTTTGCCGAAACGAAAGGACGGACAACCGGTACCGCAAAAGTTTGATCGTATACTGTGTGACGTCCCCTGCAGTGGCGACGGAACCATTCGCAAGAACTATGACGTCTGGATCAAGTGGAATGTCGCCAATGGCAACAACTTTCACGGCATTCAACTCCGAATCGCTAAGAGAGGACTCGAAATGCTGAAGAAAGACGGACTCCTCGTCTACTCGACGTGTAGTTTGAATCCGATAGAAGACGAGGCGGTGATCGCGACACTCATTAACTTGACTGAAGGCGGCGCTCATCTCGAAGACGTGTCCACTGTTTTGCCGAATTTGAAGTATAAAAAGGGTTTAGAGAAGTGGAAAGTAATGACACGAGACTTAGTGTGTATGGACTCCGCCGAAGGGGTGGAAGAGAAATACAAATCACAGATTAGAGAATCACTGTTTTCGCCCAAAAACGCCAAAGAATTGAATCTAAATCGTTGTATAAGAGTTTTACCGCATCTTCAGAATACGGGCGGTTTCTTTGTGGCTGTTGTTCGCAAAACTGTGGACACTCTTCCGTGGGAGGGGTCCACACAATCCGAGGCGTCTAATGATGCGATTCCTAACACAGAAAACGCTCAAAAAGGAGACACTTATCGGCGGAAAAAGAGGAAAATTCACGGCTATAAAGAAGATCCGTTTATATTCTTGAATAATACGGACACCGATTGGATTAAAATCAAGTATTTTGTTATGCTTTGCTTTAAATGTTGGTTATTTAAAATTCCTAATAAATTATAGGGAATATTATGGGATCAACGACTCGTTCCCGTGCGAGCAGTTAGTTCACAGGTGTGTCGCCGGCAAAAAGCGTAACATATATTTCCTGACCGAAGCGGCCAAAGAGGTTGTCGTCAATAATCAAAATGATATAAAGGTATTGTTTGGCTAATCTATATTTAATTAACTTAAAAGTTCTATTCATTGATTTTTAGCATAATTTTTATGTCTTATTTGTATTTAATATTTAATTTCATTTAAACAAACGTTTCATAAATTTAACAGTTGATTAACGGAGGCGTACGGCTGTTCTCGCGAAGTGACGATAAAGTGAATCCGTGCGGCTTTCGGCTAACACAGGAGGGACTGCCCTCTCTGTTCCCATATCTCAATAAAGACAATATCGTTGAGATCGAGGCAAAGGACGCCAAACAGTTGCTATCGCACGAGAACATGCCTTTGGAACAGTTCTCTGTGAGCGAACGGTTAATGCAATTAAACTCCGGTTGTTGTGTACTCGTCATCAAAGGTGATGCGGAAGAGAGCGCCGGCAATGCGTTGACTCTTCCCATCTGTTGTTGGAAAGGGAAGACATCAATGCGCGCTTATATCGCCAAAAACGAAAGGATCCACTATTTGAGACTCTGTGGCGCCGATACCACCGATACAGGTCTGCCATACCTTTTCAATGCGATTGATTAAATCAATTAATGATTGCATTTCATTTGTTTTCAGTTGCCGTTAGAAGTACTGAACGCGAAAAACATAAAATCAAGAATCAAACTAAGAATGAAGTATTAGATGAGAACCAAACGATTGATACTGACATCAAACCAGAAATAAAGTCTGAGACTATCACTTGAGATATGATTTCTTTAATAACAAAATTAATTACAATATTTTGTTAACAAAATTATTTTTGTGAAAATCATATTTTATTACTTTTTTGTGGTTTAATTAATGAAATAAAACAATGATTATTGTGTGGAAAACTTATTAGACATTTAATAACGTTTGCGTTTAAGAATATCTGGTTTCCAATTGATTGGATGGGAGTCTTCGTCGGCGGTGTCGTCCTCTTTGTATATCTTAATGGTTTTGTCGGCCTCTCCGGTGATGAGTCGGGAGGAGCTGTGATCGAAAGTCATGGCAAAGATGCCGTTCTCGGACTCGATAGAACCGGGCTGTGCGGCCGCTTGGAGTCGCTGGAAGTTATAGCCGGTCCTCCAGTCCCAGAAAAACATTGACCCGTTGTCTGCGCCCGAAACCAATACACCGTCCGAATTGACGGCCAATGAGTTGACAATAGCGTTGTGTCCGCTCAGGTTCTGAATGAACTTTCCGTCGGGAAAACACCACTGCTTTAGGTTCGCGAAAGAACCCGAAGCGAAGACATTGAGCTTCGGGTGAATGACAAGAGAGCGCACACTCTTCTTGTGGTGCGTTAAAGTGGTCCGTGTTTTGGCCGCAACGATGTCCCACAACTTGATGGTCGTGTCGTGCGATCCGGTGATCACCTGAGGGTCTGTCGACTGGCATAACACCGACGAAATGGTATTGGAGTGACCGCCGAGTGCGTGGATCTGCGCTTTGGTTCTCATGTCCCAAACTCTGGCCACGGAGTCCCTGCCGGCCGTCACTAAGATATCGATGGTTGGGTGGAGTGCTATGGTGTAGACGCCGGACAGATGACCATGGTAGTGGCGGATCACTTTGTTGTACTCCAAGTCCCAACACTTAACCATCTTGTCTTCGCCACAAGAGAACAGATACGGCTGTCGAGCGCTCACCGCCAGCCCTCTCACACCCGATATATGACCGGTGAGTGAGAGTTTCAATTTGCCTGAAGCCAAGTCCCAAATCTTGATGATCCTGTCGTTGGAACCGCTGGCGAACCACTCATTGCCCGGTTCGACAGTTAGACACCGAACCCAACCGATATGTCCGGACAAAACTCGGGCCAATTTCCAGGGCGGGTGCCAATCGGGTTTCGGCATCTGTTGTGGCTTTCGCTGCACTATTGTTGTGCCCGAAGACAACACCATTACGTTGTTATTATTGCCACCACTCGTCGTATTGGGAACCGCTTTTCCTGAATAATTATCATTGAATGGAACCACCGATTGGTTGGATGTGTTGGAAATGGTGTCAGACTTATCGGTCTTGTCTTTGCCGACGTCTTTGTGTTTAGTATTCAGCGTTTTATTGATGTCCGCTTTGGGCACCAAATGAAGAATCGGTTTGTATTGATCTCTGGCTTTGACAGACATGAGGAAGTCGTGCGCCTTCTGGTCGACGGGTGGCATCTCGTTGTGGTCACTGATGAACAGGTCGTGCGTCCTCTTCAGCGACCGGAACACAAGTGTGTGAACCGATTGCTTGTGAACCGTCACGAGTGGATCAGTTGGCGGATGAGTCTCGTGAGTGAGAGCGCGTCCGGGCGTATGAGGCGGTCGAGTGGGCGTCGAGTCCATCGTGTCGTACGGCGTGTGCGGACACGAGTCGACGGATCAGTTGACGAAAGCCGACAATGAGTTGAGAGACAAAAGTGTTGTTCAAAAGAGAGTGTGTTTTCAAAACGCAATGAAAACTATGTTTTTGTACGAAAGCCGAGAGAGAGTGAGAGAGTTGTGTTGAGGAGTAGTGGTGTTTGCCTGCAGTACACACTGTATGTGAAACACAGTTTGGTTTAGGCTTATGAGCGCAGAGAGAGGGCAGAGAGTGTGTGTCTGTGTATAGCGTGTAGTATATAGCCTGCATTGAGGGTAGCCTTCCGTCTGAGCGTATGGTATGTGTGGTTGAGAGGAACGGCTCAGTCATTGACGATCACTGACACAGCGATTGGGCGGGCGTTGAGACCGATGTGTTTCCGCCAGTGTTGCCAACGGATGAATACCGTGTAATACATCACTGTTTGCGCACTCAGTCTCTGCCCTAACAGTGAACCCATATCTTGCACTGCATTTCTCGCCATTTCTATGCCTAATGTTTGCCTCGCATTCAAAAAGTGTCTACAAATTGTCTACTTATAGCCAATTGCTATCGTTTCGCATCTAATACTACCCCAACTCTGGACTAATTGACGGCAAATAAGTTTTTTGCGGCCAATAATCGGCCAAAAGTGTGCGAAACAAGTGTTTTGTGAGACTATTTAGTGGTGTTTATAACGTATATAACGGTGTGTTTTATTTGAGAGCCAACGCAACACAACCGTCGCCTCTGTATGTGTTTTGTAGGCAAAAGGCATTCAAATACATAACACATAACACATTGAATATAGCATTGCATTACACGTAAGGCTTTGCAGGAGAGAGAGAGAGAGACGACAAGCGATGGCCTCAATATCGATGTATGTGTTTTGTAGGCAAAAGGCATTCAAATACATAACACATAACACATTGAATATAGCATTGCATTACACGTAAGGCTTTGCAGGAGAGAGAGAGAGAGACGACAAGCGATGGCCTCAATATCGTCGCAGAGAAAGCAGAAACGGAGAGACAAAGTGAGCGCAACGGCTACTCAACAGCCCTCAGCGCCGACACCACAGCCAACGCACAGTTCGCCCAAAAAAGCCCGACTCGACGACAAGTCCGGCGTAAAGGTTGAGCCCAAAGATCTCAGTATGTCTTTCGCCCACTATTTTACCACCAAATTTCTATTGTAATCTCATTTTCTATACATGTTTCCCCTCTTCTCGTATGCATTTCTCGACGAAATATGTTTGAAATCAAATGTTTTTTGCGTTAATTATAACTTTTTCTACGAGTTTTACTCTCTTTCGAGTTTCCGTTTAGTTTAGCTTTCATTGGGAATAATTATAGGCCTAGGATTTGAAGTTGAAGTGCCGACCCGTCTCTTACCCTCCATTAGATATTTTAAAAATATGTTTTCAAAACTTATTTTTCTAATCATTTACTGTTACTAAAAAGCAAAACTAAAAACTTTTGTTTAACAAAACTTTTGTTCAACAAATGTACTGAACAGATGATAAGGCCGTTAACAGCAACGCGACCCTCGGCTGGCCGTCGGATGACTTGAACACATTGATCAACAATTTGGCCAAATGTTTGCCGAAGAATGACTCTGCTAAGTTTTCCACATTGATTGAGAAACTCGATTGGGAAAAAGTGCGGTTCGACTCCTATTCGGCCAAACAATGCAAAGACAAGTGGTTTGAAGTGATGAACAGAGTATGTCTGCCGTTATTATTACAATACAATTCATATACCATTGATTCAAATCTCCTGTATTATATGCCAGTGCTTTAATTACTACCATATTCTGTTTGCGTGACACAACTGTATTGGTTCTAATACCTGTACCCTTATGTACAGTACAGTACAAGTGTTGCAATTCCTATCCCTTCTAACACCTAATCATTTGTTTGAAAAGTTAGAAGCGATTACAAATAGCTCTTGTTATTAATAAGTCATTATTAATTAGAAGATAATTAATTAGTTGCACATCTATTATCAGATATTAGCAATGATTTAAAATAAAGTTTTACTTTTTACATACTGTATTAAAAGTTGGCATTTGTTAATATCTATCATTTGTAAGTTTGAGATGTTTTTAGTTGAATATAACTTCCGACGAAATACCGGTAATGGGTTAAAGGATATAAAATGTGTTATTGTATTATTTTTGGCACTTTTTTAGAGTTTGATTAATACAGTAAAAGTTTTTGTATAGTTTTTGCAGCACTTTTTTGCAGCATTACTGTGATTGAAACATATACTTATAGGCGGAATGATTAAAATGCATTAATTTTGGCCAACAGTTGCGCCGATACCGGACGCTGACCGATATGGTGACGGACGCGCGGGTGTGGTTGAAGGCGCCCTGGCAGACGTACAACAACGCCAAAAAGGTGAAACACCCGGACCTACCAAAGAAGCCGTTGACACCATTCTTCCGATACTTCATGGAGAAGAGGGAGAAGTCGGGTAAATCACATCCCGGTTCCAGTGTTACCGATTTGGCCAAACTATTGTCGGGAAAGTTTGCGCAACTGAACGACCGAAAGAAACAGAAATACAAAGACGCTTACGATAAGGAGTACAACGAATACAAAGTGAAACTCCAGAAGTTCAAAGTGGATCACCCGGAGGTGGAGTTCGGCACAATGAACAAGACTCAGTCATCGCACGGTCACGCGCAGGAGGGGCCACCCAAACCTAAGACACCCATTCAGCTCTTCATGGAGGAGAAGACGAAGAAGATTGCGCCCAACAGTGAGGGCCGCAAAGAGGCGGTCGACAAGATCCGACACACGTGGTCTCAGTTGAGCGAAGGCAAGCGAATCAAATGGATTCGCCGTTCGCTGGCCGATGAGGTGCGGTTCGAGGCGGCGGTTCTCGAGTACCTGAAAGAGCACCCGAGCTTTGAGCCGAACCGTCCGAAATCGGTTCTGACTAAAAACGAAAAGGAATTGAAAGACAAGTTCGACGGCAAACCCGAACGGCCGCCCAATTCTGGCTACAGTTTGTTCTCAAAGATTATGTTAAGAGAACTGAAAGACATTGCGTCCAAAGAGAAGATGGTTGTGATCGCCAAACGATGGAAAGAACTCTCGGAGTCGGAACGGCTCGGCTATAACAGAGAGGCACAGAAGGCGAACACGAAGTATATCGAGAAGTTTAACGCATATTTGGATTCATTGCCCGAATCGGAAAAGGCGAAGGTTTTGAGCGAAAACAAACTGAAACTTCCGTCCGAAAAGAAACTGAAACAACAACAGAATTTGCCTAAACTTCAGACGCCTGTCAACGCAGAACAGGTCGAGGATCCCAACGCTAAAGAGACGGCCGCTATCATGAACTACCAGTTCGATAGAGTGCCTGTACTTCAGGCCAAATACCCCGAGAAGAGTAAACAGGAAATACTGAAACTCACGTTTCAAGAGTGGAACACAAAACTCAATGAGAAAAAGAAAGCTAAATATTATAAACAGACGGAAGCGTTCACACAATTGATGCCATCGACGAAAGGAGAGCCGTCGAGTCCGACCAAATCACCGCAACCTAAAGGGAGGGCTTCGCCGTCCAGACAGGCGCTGCTCAAGAAGGAGCCCAAAAGACCGCCAAAGAGCGGATACGCTTTGTTCACATCCGAGTTGTTGTCCACTCTTACAGGCATTGAACCGAAGAAACGGATGCAAGAAATTGCCCGAAAATGGAATCACGAAATCACTGAAACACAGAAAAAGAACTTTGATTTGAGGGCCAAACAGATGGCCGTTGACTACCAGAAAGAGTTGACCAAATTTACAGCCGTTAGTATTCATTGAACTCAATTTGTAGTATAGTTTTTAACTATTATTTTTCAATCCCTTTAGTCTTTGAGTTCAGCGGAATTGAGTGAATATCAGGCCATTCAGAGCGAGAAGGCGAGACCCAAAGCGAGGGGCAAAATTGAACTCAATTTGTAGTATAGTTTTTAACTATTATTTTTCTTAGGGAAATCAGAAACTCAAGTCGCCTTAACTCACTTATAGTCCGGTAAGTCTCGCTCTTCCGCTCTGGGTTTCGCTCCCCGTTTAGATTTTTTAGTCTATACCTAGGCCAACACCTGCTGAGCTTCGTGATTGAGACCATCGACGTCGCGACCACAGGAAATGCGGCCCAATCTTCCGATGAGAGCGAGGATTCAGACAACGAATCTGAAGATAACGACGAAGAGGTAAACACTGATGACATTTGAATGCAATAATTAGATGTCATTTAATTGTAAACATTTGTTTGATTGAAGGCCGAAGACGAGGAAAACCAGGAACAGGAAGGAGAAGAAGAAGAGAATGAAGAGGAAAGCGGAGAAGAGGAGGAAGAAGAAGAGGAGGACGAAGAAGAAGGAGATGACAGCGAAGAGTCGAGCGATTAGTTTTTTTTTCCAGTTCAATACATATATTTCATCATATATTCGCCGGAAATTGTATTTTCAAAGCATATTATCATTCCTTTAATATTTTTTAATTTGCATAACTTTTAAAGAAAACAGTATTTCTTTTTAACCAAACATTAATTTCCAGACAAACTTTTGGTTCGTTTCTTATTTCAAATTTTATTGACAAAAAACACTATTTTTTTGAAATTATATAAAAACCTATAACTTCAGTTTACTTTAACACAAGTTGTTTTACTATCTATCTAATGATTTGTTTTATGAAGTTTGTATATTAGCTAACATTTTATTATAATATATAATTAGACTGTTTAAAAATGAATGCGAGAAAAAATGACAATTTATTAAAAGTTGCAAAAATTAATTTCTAAAACAAAACCTATATTTGAATTGCTATAAAATCTGCACCTCTTTACCGTACTCACCACAGCGGTTGTCTACAGCGGTAACTAACGGTAAAGAATACTCTGTTTGCTATCGGGTTGCTTAGTTTACGGCCTCTAAATTTTTTCGCACGTAAGTCAGTTACTTACGGTAATAATTTAGTCACAAATTGTGTCGACTATTACTGACCACTAAATGGACACCAATTGAGTCGTGCATTGCGTTCGGCATTAAGTGATTGAATGTGCGCTCAATTCACACATCGATTACTATTAAACGCTTGAATGCTTTGAAAACATGTGTTTAATTGGCATTGAATGGCATTTGAGTGCCCACACCATCGATGGCCACATCCGAGACATTGTGACATAGATTGTGGCCAAAGATAATGGCATTCTTAGTGCCCGAACCGGTCGGTCGGCCACCGGTTGTCAAAGGCCTGAAGAGTTGCGCCAAAAGGTCAGACATGCGGTCATTGTTTGGCAAAATACGTGACTTGTGTCGGACGCCATCGCCGATCACCCGATTGGATGAATCCGTGTTTGTCTCCAATCTGTTCAGCGATATCCACGAGTTGTGTCGGAGACCGGAGTTATTGGCGCCGATTGAGGATCCGTTGGAGACAATCGACGAGAAGCCCGAACCGCCGGCCGTCGAGACAAAGGAGTGTTTGTCTCCAATCTGTTCAGCGATATCCACGAGTTGTGTCGGAGACCGGAGTTATTGGCGCCGATTGAGGATCCGTTGGAGACAATCGACGTCTTCGGGCTTGGCGGCCGGCAGCTCTGTTTCCAGATGGTTTTCGGCCACTTTGTTATAATGTCGCTAAGGACAGCACTGTGGTTAAGCAAACTAAACTAGGTGTTAAGTTTCGTGAAAAACCGTGACATTAGAGGAAAACAGAGTAAATGTGTCGACAATAATGTGAAGACAGAAAATAGTGAAACGAGTGATAAAATGTGTATAAATGATAACCAAATACACTGTAAACCACAGACAAAGCGACCAACTGTTAAATGTGTTAAAAGTGATCCAAAGAGTCGAAAGCCATTGAGACCTATACTGAGTATTGATTGCGATATCACAGCAAAGATTAATCAATACTCGAAGATGTACTCAAAGCAGAGACTGAAAAGGGGTTCAAATGGTGGTAACAAATGCGAGACAAACAGTAAAACATATTCACAGCAATCAGTAGTCGACTCGAAGACGAGTGAATCAATCCTCTGCTGCTGACTGTCAACGATACTCAGATATGGCTCAGGCAGCCACTCGTGTAGGACAGGCTGCTCAAGCATGAGTTACGGCCGGTGTGGATAGTCAAGCCTCTTGTCAACCTAGTCAGTAAGGACTCAGTCATCGGTCTCCACGCAGTCGTTCCTAACGAAAATCAGAAATTCTTTGAATCCAAAGTACGAGTCTTACAGACAATACGCCGAAAAGTGTGTCCCGAAGAAGACGGCGAAGAAGTGCCGCACAAAAGGACTCACAAAACGTGAGATTGATTTCAACGAGAAAGTGCTGGAATGGAAGGCAAACCGATTGTGTTCTGGGAATACAACACCCGTTCATAATATGGAGTATTTGGTGACCCCTCCCGGTAGTCCACAACGGATCCAAAACAATGACAATGTCTTAATACACAACGATTTGGATGAAATGTTTGATTTCATGCAAAATGAGTCATTCAGTCAAAGCGATAATTTTAACAATGAATTCAATTCCCTTTTATTGGAGTTATCGGAAATGAATGCTGACATTACCGCCGATCAGTCCATCGTATGATCGCTTAATTGTCATTGAGTTAAACGCATTGCTTATGAATTGAATGATTGAATTGAGACGACACTTGTTATCACATTTAATCCCAAATAAATAAAACTTTTATGAAAAAACTATTAAACATTGAGTAAATATTTGTAAACTATGGGTTACTCTCTCAACACTGGTAATATAACATCTACACCAGTGTTTACACTCTGACCAAACCCAAACAAATGTTTTATAAGGAAGTTTTGTTTACATTTTAGGGTTAAACCAATTGCGAGAACATTTACTCCAGTATTAGATGGGTTTGTCTGGATTCAAATCCTGGATTTATGGTCACATTTTTTGTATAGAAGCACACAATTATATGAACAGAAACTATAATTGATTAAACATATGTGTAAATGCATGTCTCAAACAAACATTAGATTTATATTAAATCATTATTTATGCCACTAAACAATAATAGCTATACCACTAAATTAACATTTATTTTGCCACTCATTACCTCTGATAGTAGACCTGACAGATAACATATTTTACCACACTTTATATTTAAAATTGTATATGAATTTTGTGTATAAATATGTATATTTTGTATATAATGGATATCTAGTCTTATATTCAAATAAAATTTTGTAATTAATTGACTAAAAAAGTTTATAAACAATTTTATTATTTATCTATCAATTTATAATCGCTATATAAATACAAACAATGATTAAAATGACTAAAAGGAGTAGCAAAAGGCAATTATTCGGATTCTTTGAGCTTTTGTTTGTCGTCCTTCTCTAAGTTGAGGGGAAAGTCGATGCGATAAGTCGGGTGTTCGTGAGGGGGTTTCACCCATTTGGAGTCGCGTAACGGTGTGGGCCTCCGGTGGCCGTCCGGATACGGCAGAGGCATATTCAAGGGGTGAACCGACGGGTGAAGACGCGGCCATTTCGGTCGATCCAAATCGGCGTTGTTATCGAACGGCTCGATAGCCGAGTGCGGTCTGAGGCCGCGGAAAGCGCCCACTTTAGAGCGCCGTTTCTTTATGGGTCCCTTCAGCCAATCGGGAGTTCCCGTCGGAATGGGATGTATGTGTGCATATGTAGGCGTTTTGTCAAACTCTTTCCCGTAGTCGTAAGGGTTGACTGACGACAAGCGCTCCAACAATACCTCTTTGGATATATCTTTGGGATCGCGAAAGGCGTCCAAATATCTGAGTTTAGATGGGATTAACGCAACAATTAATACAAATATGATTACCCAAATCGCAAACTCCCCATGTTTGTATAACTTACCGCGAGACGGGCCCTTAACGTTGACTAACATTGCGAAGAGAAACCCTCCTGAGGTAAGCATTAACCCTCGAGAGTACAGAAGCGTTAGAATGTAGAAAAACAGTTTATAATCATTTGAAATCATTTCTATTCAATGGCAAATGTTTGGATTTATTAGCATTGTATAAAAGACACTCGATATCAGGGTTCACCAGACTTTGGTCCTTTCCGGATGACCACACTGTCACAACAGCGAAGGTACGCTACTGTACTTCAGTATCCGTAACTTCGCTCTCTTCTTCAGATCAAAGTCATCGACTTTTTGCAAATTTAACGCATTTTTGTGTTTATATAAGAGAAAAACGAAGCGTTGATAACCTAATCCTCTGATACCATAAACCGGTAAATATTTAATAATTGTCTCATAATTTGTCACTTTATTTTTGTTATGAATATTAGTTGCCATCCAATGACACACATTTGACTCTTCGCCCAATTGTGAGTCCAAACTAATCAAACATAAAGTGTAGTAATTATTGTCGTCATTAACGAGTCTTATTCGACCGCTTAGTTCTTCGGCCGAGTCATCACTTCTGTCGCAATCATCTGTACTATTGATACCATTGATGGCCGAAGAATCGATCGTTACGTTCGGACAGTTAATGCATTTGTGAGGAAATAATACATTTCCGCGAAAGACCGGCGAAACTATCAAATCATTGTCCGAAACCTCTTCACCGCTCTTATTGTCAACAATATCTGACTCTAAGACACAAAACTCTGCATTCAATGGCACTAATGGCCAAAAATAATAGATGGGTTTCGGAGGTAAGGCTTCAATGGATGACATGCTCTGAAGGGGAGGACTGGCAGGGAATAGGTCTCTGAAGATGGCGTAATG